TGGGATTTGTAAAAGCGAAGTCTTTGTAAGTTATATCCCATAATAAAAATGTGATTTGATTTGATTTGACGTTGTCTTGGAAGCTCATTCGGTGGAGTCCGGTGAATTCTATGGAGAACCTGTCGGGGCATTCAGCTTCCATGCTAACTGGTGGATGTCACATTCCTCTGTCAGTTGGATGGGTAAATTGGAATGTGAAAATATGAGTGCTATCTGTGTGGCCTCGTAGCTCAGTTGGTAGAGCATGCACGTGCAAAGCATAGGCGGTGTCCATGCGTGGTTTCGACTCCCACCGAGGCCAGTGAGCTTTTCACAATCGAAATAGAAACTTGCAATTTGCCAAACAGCTTTTTGAACAATCGACGTTGTCTTAGAAGCTGATTCGGTGTAGTCCGGTGAATTCTAAGGAAAACCTGTCGAGGCAGTCAGTTTCCATGGCAGCTGGTGGATGACGCATCATTCTGTTGATCGATGGGTGAATTGGAATGAGAAAAGATGAGTGCTATCGGGGTGGCCTCGTTGCTCAGTTGGTAGAGCATGCGCGTACAAAGCGTAGGCGGCGTCCATGCGTGGTTTCGAATCCCACCGAGGCTTCTGAGCTTTTCACAATCGACATGAAACTTATACTCCGCCTTACAGTTAGAATAACGACACGTTCCGCTTCCCATTGTCTCCTGACCTGTAGTGGTTATCATCTAGGTTTTCTTGCATGAGAAGAACCCCGACGGAATCTAGAATGTGTGAAGCCCATAATTTCGGCCATATCCGCCGTTTGGGCACATCCCCATCCAACAGCTTTGCTAATTTTTTCACCTTTCTTCGTGACTGTTTTGTGAGTTCCGGTGAATTTGTACAAATCATTTTCAACTTAGTGTTGGTCACTGCCTTGTTTTTCACAGGCGAGAGCGTTTGCTGTAAGAGGCGGGACCTGGTAGCGATACGGTCTGGACGGGTTCCGACATAAATGCATCCTTCGTTCATTTTTTCTTCCATTGCATGTTCTTTCATGGGGTGACACT